GAGAAAGTGAAACGAAGGGAGGGTGAGATAAAGTAAGAGACAAAGACAGAAACAGGGTAGAGATAGGGAGGGACTGAAGGAAAACAAGGGATAGACAGGAAGGAAAAAAGAGAGAAGAAGAACTTGAATTGGAGAGAGAGAACAAAGAGGAAAAATGGGGGAAATGGCATACTGTTCCGCTTGGAAATACGGTTTCAATAATTCAAAGTATTTATTGGCAAGGGCTACCTCTAATGGTAGAAGAGACTGAGTTGGGCTTTCGTTACATGGCGACATACATCATTTTGTCCCAGGTACTGAACATAAATGGTGAATAGATATTCTGAACTTTCAATTCAATGGATAGAGAATTGTCCCAGCATTCATACGAAACTGTGCTAACTCGAAAAGGTAAAATCCATGAAAACTGAAGCAATAAAGTATTTGCGAAAATGAAAAACTACTACTACTACTACTACTACTACTACTACTACTACTACTACTACTACTACTATTACTACTACTACTACTACTACTACTACTACTGCTGCTGCTACTACTACTACTGCTGCTACTACTACTACTACTATTGCAGCTGCTGCTGCTGCAGTAGCTGCTTTTCCCTCCTAGGTGACAGCAGCAGTTAAAAGGTGTATTTATTTGCGTTGTGGCGTTACAACGCGACAGAACAATGGGGACAAATATTGATTCGACCTTTTCGAGAGAGGAAGCGAAGTACTGTCGACTGGAAATTGATCTTTTTGAGCATCATCTCTCAATCCAAAAGCTAGTAGTGGTATCGTGAACCGACAAAAAGCTTGTACGTTGAGCGTGTCTTAAACTACGTGAAGATTGTTCGTAAACAATTGAGCCGCCTGTTCCCCCTATAGCAGGACAAAGTTAATGTTTTAGGGCTGGATACTTTGACTTCAAGTGTTTATTGTTATTGTACCGACGCCAGAGGTGTAACAGCTACGCTCTTTGCCAACACATTTTGAAGATGCGAGTTCGATTCTACAATAGTGAAATATGGGTACTTAAAAACAGCTCAGTAGGAATAAATTTTATTCATTATGTGCTCAGATCTTCAAACGTGATACTTCCTTAAGTGCTTTATCCCTACTCCTTTATCCCCTCACCCCATCCCCGTCCGTCTCTCCACTGCTGACCTTGTAGGTGTGGCGTCTGTGGCCTAGTGGTAAGGGTATCGGACTCGCAACCGTAAGGTCGTGGATTCGAATCCCGTCAGGGATCCCTTGGAAAAGGCACTTTACACGAACGAATTTTCCTCACTTCACCCAGGTGTGAATGGGTACCCGGCTATAGACAGCGAAAGATCTTGTCAGTTTGTTTAGTGTTTGAGCGCTTAAGGT